CTTCTTCATGGCCTCAGTGAGGTGGGGTGGGATAGTCGTGAGACTAACCCGATCTGTTCAGAGGTCGGATCAAACCACGCGGCCGTTCTGTCGTTCAACCAAGAGTTGGTGAGAAACTCTGGGGGCTTGTTACCGGATGTGGTTCCGACTTCGATGCGGTACGCATCTTTGGCTGGCTCTCATACCAATGCAGCTTTGAGAGCCCTCCGCCGCGAAGTGAAACTCCCACAAGATCATGGATCCGGTCCCCTGGCACTGGAAGGCAAACTGTCGATGGCCCGAGCTCGATCTCATGACCCACAGCTGTACAAGGCAGCTGAGGAAGGCATGATCTGGCGGATTGTGTCCAAGGAAGCTGCAGCGATCGAAGGTGTGCCACAGCTGATCCAGGCAGCATCCAATACCTCCGGCCACTTGCAGCGGGGAGAGCATGAGTGGCAAATCTTGCTGCGCATGAAGGGTATGATTGAAAGGTCCACCCAACCTCCAGAGTGGGCCCAAGTTCGCAAAGATGTCATGAGGACAAAGCCAGCCTGCGCTGAAGCCACCCCCTACATGTATCAGTTCTTGCTCAAGTACATGCATAAGAGTTTGCTGGCAAAGGTTGAGAGCAGGGTCAAGAAGAATGTGAGCACGAAGAAGGTGCTCGGGACAGAGTTCTTTGTGAACTTGTCGGGCACGTCGAAGGATTGGCAGGCGCAGCATGTTTGGTTTCGGCATGCTTTGCTTGGCCTAGCCTACAACTCAGAGAAGTTGGTTGGGGCCAGTGATGCCCGACGAATCTTGTCCAAAGAGATGTCCCCAGCCGTGGCAAAGGCGGAAGGGTTGATGATCAAAATGCAGAAGCTCTTGGACAGCGTCAGTATTCCGGACGAATCCGCACAGCAGGTTCAAACTTGTTTTGAGAAATTCCAAGATGGCTTGGTCTTGGAAGTCCTTGAGAAGCGCAAGGATTTGACTCCTCAATCCATGGCGTGCGAGTTCATGGATGAACTTCAGGAGGCTCTTGGAAAGAGGCTTTCCACCGAGTTCGATGCCCATAGGAAGCCTGAGAGCTCCACCCCATCAGCTCCTGCGGCAAGCCCGGGTCCCTCAGTGATTCCGCCAACCGGACAATTTCATTAAGAGTTTTTTGTGCCTATAGTGAACCTACAAAATAGTTTGATGTCATTCACTCTCCAAAGCGTTTCTTGCACCGCATATTGGGTCGGACAGTTTTGCAAGGAGTTCCTTTTGTTTTTTGGTGCATAGTGAACCTACAAAATAGTTTCACAGTTCATTCACTGTCCAAAGCCTTTCTTGCACCGTATATTCAAAAGCCCTTGTCCATGTCAATTCAAGGCGCGAGTACGATGAGTTTGGGAAGATCATGG